GATAAAAAAACATTATTTTCTCAAACAGAATTAAGATCAATGTTTAAATCAATTATTTTATGAGAACGGGCCAAAAGTTCAAATTATTTTTTGTATTATTAATTTTTTTTTTTAATGGATAGGGTCCAAACTTTTTTTTTTAGGTTTTCTTTCATAATCTTCAAGATGGGCTAAGCCCAAACCCTTCTTTTAGGGTTTCTCCTTTTCCTCCCCATCTGATGCGATACAGGGGAAGTCCCTGGCAGCCAACTGCTTCTTCCCCAGAGCTCGAACAATAACCCTCACACCGCAGCCAATTGCTTCTTCACCAGAGCTCGAACAATAACCCTCACACCGCAGGCTGCCAAATCTTTTCCCCCCTCACACCCAGGTTGTGAAATCTTTTTCCCTCTGAAAAACGAAACAGAAACGAAAAGGGAAAGGAGAAGGAAACTTCATGAATCCGCGCGGGCGGCCGCCGAGATCCAAGAACAAGCCGAAGCCGCCAGTGATGATCACCAGGGAGAGCGCCAACACGCTCCACGCGCACATCCTTGACGAGGTAGGCAGCGGCTGCGACGTGTTCGACAGCGTTGCCAGTTAAGCGTGGCGGCGGCAACGCGAGATCTGTATTTTGAGCGGCAACGACACCATGACGAATGTGACCATACGGCTTATGAACGGTTACTGTTAGAAGAAGAAGAACAGGTTCTGATACCTGGTGGTGCCGGTGTGGGAAGTAATGGGACTCCCTTTCTTGAGTTTGCGTTCAATTCCCGGTGGATGGTTCTGTGTGTGACCCTTCAAAATTGAAATTTAGGGTTTGAGGCAAACACAGAATACAACAGCTTAGAAAATAATTTAAAGGACGGAGGATAGAATTGTATTTTCATTTATCCAGAAGGGTAGCGGGTACCCTCGGGTGCGGATAGTGTGATATCCGAACCAGACCCGTTAACAAGCGGGTATTAAAATACCTGCTACCCGTGGGTAGTAAATACCCGTAGCAGATTTTATCCGCGGTTACCCGCGGGTACGGGTTTTTATGCCATCCCTAATCCGACAGGTCAGACCAAATTGTTAGGTTTCTATGGGTTAAACCTAACCAAACGAACAATCGCACACACAGAAGACCAAAGAATGTTGATCTTGTATTCACAGTGGAAAGAATACTTTGTACAATCTCAATTGGAAGCCTAACCTCCCCCACAGGGTTAAAACTCCTGTCAAATCAACAACGGTCAAAACGTAACTAAAACAATACAAGAATTCTATTTATACGTTCCCTCTTTCCCGCCTCTCCTAACTGCCTAGGCAAGACTATTAATGCTTTCCTCTTCTCACATAAACTCTCCATTCTCTAACATTGTATCTTGGAACAATTATGGAGTCTCCATCTCTCCTTCTTGTTCAACTAGGTCATCCTAATCTGATCAAAATGCAACAACTCTAACTTGGTCATAGTTCCTTTCATAGTAGTGTCTCAAAACGTGCTTCATCCCCTTTTGCCTTAGTTCACTCTGACATTTGGGATCTTAGTCCTGTTAAGTCTAATTTTGGTTTTCAATATTTTGTTACTTTTATTGCTGATTATTCCATATATACTTGGTTATTTTTAATGCAAAATCATTCTGATTTATCTTATCTTTCAAACCTTTAATAATGAAATTAAAACTCAGTTCGATATTTCTATTCAAACATTGTGAAGTTTTAATGGCCGTAATTATCTTTCATATTCTTTTAAACAATTTATGGCTTCTCATGGAATTCTCCATCAAACTTCATGTGCTTATACACCTCAACAAAATGGGGTGGTTGAGCACAAGAATAGACATCTAATTAAAACAACTTGTACCCTTTTAATTCATGGTGAGGTTCCTCAACATTTTTTAGGTGATGATATTCTTACTGCATGTTATATTATTAATCATATGCCATTTTCAGTTTTAGATAACAAAATTACTCATTCTATTTTATTTCCTCGTGAACCTCTCCATCCCTTGCCTTTGAAAGTTTTTGGGTCTACACATTTTGCTCATAATTTTGGTCCTGGTCTTGATAAATTATCTCATAAATCACACAAATGCGTGTTTTAGGATTTACTCAATCCCAAAAAGGATACAAGTGTGTTTCTACAACTCTTAATCGCTATTTTATTTCTACATATTTCACCTTCAATGAGTTTTCTTTTTACTTCATGGATTCGTCTTCTTTTGATGTGTCTCTACAGGAAGAAATTTATATGGAGCAACCTCCGGGATTTGTGGCTCAGGGGAGTCTTTTGACATACCATTTGAATTGGTATGTCATCTTCGCAAATCTTTATATGGCCTAAAACAGTCTCCTAAGCCCTGGTTTGACAAATTTAGGCATATCATTTAGTCTTTTATTGTCACTCAAATGTTGGTTGTGTCTATTTGATATATGTTGATGACATTGTTCTTCTAAGCAGTGACCACCATGGCAACTCACATATGAAAGAACACCTTTGCCATCATTTTTAGACCAAAGATCTTGGCAAACTTATATACTTTTTGGGTATTGAGGTAGCACAATCCAATGATGGTATTTTTATATCTTAAAGGAAGTATGCATTAGATGTTTTAGAGGAATCTAGATGAATTCAAAACTTGTTGACACATCCATGGATCCTAATACCAAACTCCTACAAATCAAGGGGAGCCTATTTCAAATCCTGAGCAGTATAGAAGATTGGCTAGGAATTAAATTACCTTACAGTTACTCGTCTTGCCATTTCCTTTGTCGTCAATGTGGTGAGTCAATTTCTCAATTCCCCATGTACAGATCATTGGAATGCAGTCATCCGTATATTAAAGTACATCAAAGGACCTCCTGGAAAAGGTTTGTTATATGACTCCAATAACTATACAAAAGTTGTTTGCTATTCAGATGTTGACTAGGCAATATCTTCTTCTGATAGAAGATCTACCTCCGAGTATTGTGTCTATATTAGTGGTAACTTGAATATAAATATATGACCCTATGTTTGTTTTTGACACAAGAGATTAATCTTATACCTAGTTTTACTATATTCAATAGTATCAAAATAATTGACATCAAAGATTGGTGAACAATTTAAAGACTTTGCCAATTGACTTAAAGAAATACAGAAACCAAAAGAACAAATTTTATCAAGATTTTGGGCTCCATAGTTTCAACTTTACAGATTTTGGATGTCTTATCAAGGGAGCCATGCAAAGAGAAGCAACTCTACTGGATATGACTGATTCTCATAGACTACATGCATTGAGGATATCCCTTTCCACCACGTCCTTCTCCATTACTACATTCTCCTCTTCTACATGTAGACACCAAGATTTCACAATTTACTGAACATTCTTGCTTTGAAGAGTTGGAACCCGAAAGAGACGTGGCTCAAGCTTTCCATGGATAAGAATTTGTGATCAATAAAAAGTTTATCTCTAACATGTTCCAAATTTTATTGCATAAATTTTATTGCATGGCACAACTATAAAAATTTGTGCTACTTTCTCTTAATCTTGTTTATTGACTCAACCTCCAAGAACATCTTTAATTTTCAAATAGCAGATTGAATTTCACTCATGAAAGATATCATGTTATGATTTGTTTGTTTGAGAGATGCAAGCCCATTGGCAAAGTCATAAAAGCACTAAATATCATGTGCAAAAAATATGATGAGCTATTTTTTCCAGAAAGAGTTGCATGTTCTTAACAATCTAAGAGTATCTAATAATTTGGGTTCCATAGATTGTAACAATAAAGCACAAAGCTAAAAATAAGCTTTCTTCGACTATTCAACTTGATTAGACAGTACATTGCTCCTGCCTTGTTCAAGATGATCATGGAAATCTTTGCCAAGGAACCAAATCTTCGACTATTCAACACTAAGCCCTCTCCGTTCACACAGGATGCAATGGTCCTGTCTCTAAGATACAACAAAAACATGTATGTCCCTAGACACCCCCTCCTTATAGAGCTAACCCCTACCAGAAACATATACCAGCCAACCTCCTAACGGCCCTAACCACCCCCCCCCCCCCCCCCCCCCCCCCCCCCCCCCCCCCCCCCCCCCCCCCCTCCCCCCCCCCCCCCCCCTCCCCCCCCCCACCCCCCTTCTTTTTCCTTCTTTCATAAACTCTCAAAGTCCTATCATCGACCCCCTCCATTACCAACTTAAGATAGATGAAAAGGACAAAATATTTTAGAGAGCTTGAATCACATATCCTATGTTCTCATATCTATAATGATAGTTTTTCTAACACAATAAGTAAAAGGAACAGTAAAAACAAAAAGACAGACTAGATTTCTAGGTATAGAGATAGGTACAACTCATAGGTACAACCCATATCAGTTTTTCAAATAAAAGCTATTTAAGACCTATTCTAACAAGGAGGATAAATAACTCAGCTTATGTTTTTTTTATAAATCTCTAGCATCAACTTATTCACTTCTCCAATCCTCCATTCTAAATGAGTCAAAGTAAAAACAAACAAAAAGGGTTAGCTGACGTCTACACCTTTTTACTTTCTACATAAAGTTAAGAAACGTAGATAAACCTAAGTAACTATATATATGGCATTTACCTTTTACCAAAACATTTGAAGCAAGCACTCAATATGTTCTTCAAAAGGGTGAGAAAGAAAGAATTGCCGAATCCACAGTCTTGATTACTTGTACTATATGTTTTTGGCATTAATAATTTCACCCAAGGAAAAAGAAAGAAACAAAGGACAAACCCCAGGCCAAACACCAAATAAGCTAGATAAGATAATTTTCTATCGCCTTAACCGTTTGAAAATTCAGGAAAGCATTAGTCTTTCTTAGCATCTCACACATTAAACAAAAAGCAGCAATAGAATCTTGAATTCCTATATTACCTATTCACATTAAGTAATTATATCTATTTGAAGAAATTAAATAAACAAGGGAAAATAGAGTAAATTAAAGATCTCAAATAGTATGTTTACTGGCTGGTAACGCATGATATAACAGCTAAGAAAAGAAAACATAAAACCTACTTAGTTGCTTTGGCATCCTTGGAATTATCAACAAGCTCAGCAATTGCACCAAAAATCCATCCAGAATGAGCCTGGCCAAGAGTTTTAAGGTAACTTGGGTCTGCCCGTATGAAATTTTTTAGAGGGACTCTAGATTGATATTCGTTGCAAGTTTCTTCAGCTCGAGAAAACTTAAGACCTTCAGCTGTATTTGGTCCACCGCATTCCTCTAACTGTGAACCTGCTAAGGAAATATCTACTACAAGTTATGTTCAACCGTGTCATAAAAGGTAGTAACTAAATAAAAAACTCCATTGTCTTCGTTCCTATGTGTAAAACAATTCCAAATTCCAAGCTAGATAACCCAGAGATACAAATATGATTCTCTATTTCAAATGCAAAAGATAGGAGATACTTAATGTCCTAATCCTAAATAATGTGTGCATCAGTTATTTCTATCCATTAGTGTTATTTTGTGTATGCACATTGCATAACAATTGGATGCAATGTTTTTGTACAATTAATCATTAACTGCTGACAACAAAAAAACAGTCCTCCAAAGAAGGAACACCTGATTCACTATCCCTTGGACGAGTATCTACAGAACCTGTATTATCTATATTATATGCAACATTGACTGCAAAGAAGGAACACCTGATTCACTATCCCTTGGACGAGTATCTACAGAACCTGTATTATCTATATTATATGCAACATTGACTGAGCTTGATGTTGAAACTAATGCAGGAGGTAGAATGTAAAATTGGTACTGCTCAAAGTTTATAAGAGCAACCTGCAAAAAACATAGCGTGATTGTGATTTTTAATTTAAATGCTCAAAATAGCATAACTAAATAATGACAGAAAATATACTCTTTTTTTTCTCAATTCATTGATACTGGATATGTCATAAATGTTACAGGAAACTTAGTACAGGGCCTTAATCACTTAGAGAAAAAGGTACTGCAAAGAAAGAAAATAAAATTAATAAGAAAACCTAAAGATCAACCACACTCCTTTATAATATAAAATTAAAATATCTTTTAAGATATTAAGTCTGGCACAACAATTTAGTTGTGGCTAAGTGACTGGATGGTCATGGCTTCCAATCTTGAAACAATCTCTTTTCATATGCAAGGGTAAGACATTTCAATGACCTTACCCCATACTTAGCATAGAAAGGAGCATTTCGTAAGGGATCAAGTTAGTAAAGGGAAGTTGGAGTTAACAAAGCCTCCTAAGGTTGACAAATTCAAGATTATTAGGAAAATGATAAGAATGCAGTCTATTGCTAATTTAAATTAAGGTAGAGTGTTGTAGATAATTCCCTTAGCTTTGTATGTTAGTAAGGTAGTCAGTGGGCTGTCAACTAATTGCTCCTAATGGTACTATAAATTGTAATGATGTATTGTGATACACATGTCTGTGAGATATAAATTTTACATTCAGAACCCATATCTCTTGTTCTCTTCCCATTCTTCGTTTTTGCTTGTGAGTATGTTTAGTGTGTGTTCTAACAAGTGGTATCAAAGTCAATAGTTCATGTGATCAACTTAAACAAATTTATGGTGCCAATGGTGGATCCTAGTGTGCAGATAATCCCATATATCATCTTGGCAACTAATCCAACCAGGGTGTTGTTGAGGTGAACAACAATGTAAATAAGAGTCACCATTAAATACTCATGGACAAGCAAGAGCTTCCTTTAGATGGGACTCAAACTTGAAGGAGGGATTTGTTAGAGTTCATGTACGAGTTGAATTCTCACATTGCATAGAAATGGATAAGTTGAGCAATGTACAAGTGAGAAAGACCTACAAACCTATTGTCCTAAGGTTTTGAATTGAGTGTGATGTCATAGTCTTTTTATTTAGTTGACTTGTGGCCCACTACTGAGTATCCCCTTGTTGTTTTCCCCCTTAGAGTTTTCCAGCAAAGGTGCAAAAATATAATTTTATTGTTGGATTAAACCAAATAAATTTGTGACTAATATAATATTTATTAAAGTGTCATAAATTTCATTGTTGTTTACCAAAAGATACAAATATTAAATGTCATGTACTAGGATTTAGAGAGATAGTTCAGTGTCAAAAGTTTTGCTTAAGCTAGAACTAAATTTCTCATTATGAGTTTTAAAAAGCTCCGTATCTTTTAGCTTTTTTCTCGTTAAATAAACTACTTATATTTTTAAGAACTTATATCAAAAATTGATTGACCCACCTTCCATTTTGAAGGAGAAAAAAAGTAAAAAATAGATTGGCCCATACATATCCTTAGTATCGAAGCAAGTGAACAACCAATACAATTACACAAATCCATCAGAAACATAAATATGCTACAGCGTTAATAAAACAAGTTCAGATAAGCATCATACCTTGTCTTTTTTACACAGGTAATTCAAAAAGTTCCCCCACTCAGACATCTCGTGTAAATTATTTGGGACCGGAGTTAGTGAAAATTGGGGAAATTCAGAAAGACTATGTATCTTATTTTTGGAAATTTCACATGTTAAGCTCAATTCCTGTGGCCTGCAAATATTTTTAGGTCAAACTATCACACCATAAACTTCATTTACCTTATCAAAGTAACAGCTAGCAACAAATTTTCCGAAGTATTTTTAAAATTAATAAATAGAATACAACTTAAGAAGAAGAAAATCCATACAAATCGATCGGCGGGTCTAGGCACCTCGTGGTGCATATCATTTTTTTATCTTTCTTCAGAACAAGGAACATGACCATCTGCATAAATGTCAATAAAAATAAATAAATTAACAATAGTGACCATAAAAAAAGCCATACTGCAAAATATCAAAAGCCTAGGATCATAATAGGTCCTTTTTCTCCAACCAAAATACCAATAAACAAATGCACCTCCTTGTGCAAAACAAATTTCCCTATCACACAGTGGGGACAACCACTGCAATCATCTTAAGGTCATGAAACCCCCAAACTCACATGCACACCGTTCAACTTCCAAAATACAAAATACAAAATACAAATACACACAAAATGCGATGAACTGAAAAGAAAATATGAAACACACAACACGAGCTCTTAAAAAATGATCAGGGAAACAGAAATCTGAAACAACTTACACAGCAGCGATGGCAAAACCAAAAGATAAACCAACTTACTGGCGAGTAGAAAACACCAGAATCGGAAATACCGAAGAGACTAGCAGTTACTTGGGAGTTACGCTCTGAGACTGGAGTGGGCTAATGAAGCGACACGCCATAAGTTAAATTATAAAACCTCATTATTTGCATCCTTGTGCAGTACGTGTTTCCGTCTTGGTAAAACACAAAAAGATAAATAAATAAATAACCTTTTTCATTTTTAGTCAAATGGATACACATATAGTAAAATCCTTGAAAAAAATTCAAAATTTCTACTTTTAACATTTAAGCATTTATTTTGTTTGTATTATTTTTATGTGCTTTTCAATCCAAGATGCGCTAAACATTAATTATAATATTTTAATAAAATCTAAGATTCAGAAAAACTGTAACTATTAAAAATTATATATTTTAAATAAAAGATAAAACGATTTATTAAATATTTAATTTAAAATATTCATCTTATTTAAAAATTCTTATTAGAGATGAGATTTGGGAATAATTATTTAATTAAAAATATATTAAATAAATTCTTAGAAAAAAATGATTATAAGAGTGTAGAAATTGAATTTTATCACATGAATATATGAATCTGTCTCTAAAATATTAGATAAATAAAAGATGAGGCTTTAGTCATTATTTAATTAAAAAGATATTAAATATTATTAAATATTATAACTGAAAATTAATTATTTTAAAATTTTATTATAAGAGATATAATGATGTTACAACTGAAATCCCAAGACCAATAATTGAGAATTAATTTAAAAATAACCGTTATTGATGAATAATTAATAAAAATAATAATTACTAATTAAGAATTAATAGAAATAATGGTCAAACTTAATAATTGTAATTGTAAGTTGATTATAATAAGATTTTATAAATATATATTTGAGAGAGATGATAATTACCATCTTTAAGCTGCGACCCAAGGTTAGAACAACAAGAAGATAGAGAATAATGAAAAATAAATATTCATTCTTTATAATGTTTTGGAATGATTTGAGTAAGAAATTTTTAAGTCACATCCCAAACAAACATGATAATCAATTATTCTTAAAATATTATATAACTGAAAATGAAAAATTGAATTATAAGAGAATCAGACACTATAATAATAAACATAATTATTATGATTGTGAAAAAGCAAAACAAAATAAAATAAACTTTTGATAATTTTGTTTAACACTTTTTTAAAAAGATGTTTCTATAATTGGATATTGAGCTAGAACAAAGCTACAGGTATGAAATCAGCATGATGATAAAAGCAATAAAATGATACATAAAAGGGAAAAAATAATTAGATAAAGTGTGCATGAGCATAAGATGGGATGATTCACGCTCGTCATTGATCACAGTAACAAAGAAACATGAAAACAGATATTTAATACACTTTCATCAGCTACAGCTGGATAACTATACCTGCGGAATGAAGAGAAACCTTCGCAGCCGTGGTGAATAACCTCACTAAATTTCCATTCTGATTTTTCGATCGAGATAGTTACAGAGAGGCGGAGGGTTAGGCGGAGGGTTTTCGTTTCTCCTCCGGACGGCGCGAGGGAGTGAATGCAAAATAGAAGACGACGGAGGAAGGGAGTGAATGTAAAACTGAAGACTACACACACTGATAATTGCACTGTTAAACTCACTGTGTTATTTTAATTCAAGGTTAAAAGGCTAACAGATACTAACCACCGAGTACATAGCACCGAATAATAACTAACTAGTACTTGAATATAACTAAATAGAAACCGTGTGTCGCAATAAAACTGAAATTATAACAACAGAAAACAAAAAAAACAGTAACAGAAAAAAACTAAAAAAAAATACTTAAACCTAATTACAAAAGAATTTTAATTATATTAAAATATTAAATTAAATAATTATTAAAATTTAAATAAAAAATGAAATTTTAAAAAATTTGTTAACTGAGAGAAATCCGTTATAATAACGGATAATAGATAACTTTTGTTAATTTTTTATTTAAATTTTAATAATTATTTTTTAATATAACTTATAATAATAGAAATTATGTTTTTATAATTATTAAAATAATATATATTAAGATATAAATATATATTAAATAATATTAAAATATTAAATTAAATAATTATTAAAATTTAAATAAAAAATGAAATTTTAAAAAATTTGTTAACTGAGAGAAATCCGTTATAATAACGGATAATAGATAACTTTTGTTAATTTTTTATTTAAATTTTAATAATTATTTTTTAATATAACTTATAATAATAGAAATTATGTTTTTATAATTATTAAAATAATATATATTAAGATATAAATATATATTAAATAATATTAAAATATTAAATTAAATAATTATTAAAATTTAAATAAAAAATGAAATTTTAAAAAATTTGTTAACTGAGAGAAATCCGTTATAATAACGGATAATAGATAACTTTTGTTAATTTTTTATTTAAATTTTAATAATTATTTTTTAATATAACTTATAATAATAGAAATTATGTTTTTATAATTATTAAAATAATATATATTAAGATATAAATATATATTAAATAATATTAAAATATTAAATTAAATAATTATTAAAATTTAAATAAAAAATGAAATTTTAAAAAATTTGTTAACTGAGAGAAATCCGTTATAATAACGGATAATAGATAACTTTTGTTAATTTTTTATTTAAATTTTAATAATTATTTTTTAATATAACTTATAATAATAGAAATTATGTTTTTATAATTATTAAAATAATATATATTAAGATATAAATATATATTAAATAATATTAAAATATTAAATTAAATAATTATTAAAATTTAAATAAAAAATGAAATTTTAAAAAATTTGTTAACTGAGAGAAATCCGTTATAATAACGGATAATAGATAACTTTTGTTAATTTTTTATTTAAATTTTAATAATTATTTTTTAATATAACTTATAATAATAGAAATTATGTTTTTATAATTATTAAAATAATATATATTAAGATATAAATATATATTAAATAATATTAAAATATTAAATTAAATAATTATTAAAATTTAAATAAAAAATGAAATTTTAAAAAATTTGTTAACTGAGAGAAATCCGTTATAATAACGGATAATAGATAACTTTTGTTAATTTTTTATTTAAATTTTAATAATTATTTTTTAATATAACTTATAATAATAGAAATTATGTTTTTATAATTATTAAAATAATATATATTAAGATATAAATATATATTAAATAATATTAAAATATTAAATTAAATAATTATTAAAATTTAAATAAAAAATGAAATTTTAAAAAATTTGTTAACTGAGAGAAATCCGTTATAATAACGGATAATAGATAACTTTTGTTAATTTTTTATTTAAATTTTAATAATTATTTTTTAATATAACTTATAATAATAGAAATTATGTTTTTATAATTATTAAAATAATATATATTAAGATATAAATATATATTAAATAATATTAAAATATTAAATTAAATAATTATTAAAATTTAAATAAAAAATGAAATTTTAAAAAATTTGTTAACTGAGAGAAATCCGTTATAATAACGGATAATAGATAACTTTTGTTAATTTTTTATTTAAATTTTAATAATTATTTTTTAATATAACTTATAATAATAGAAATTATGTTTTTATAATTATTAAAATAATATATATTAAGATATAAATATATATTAAATAATATTAAAATATTAAATTAAATAATTATTAAAATTTAAATAAAAAATGAAATTTTAAAAAATTTGTTAACTGAGAGAAATCCGTTATAATAACGGATAATAGATAACTTTTGTTAATTTTTTATTTAAATTTTAATAATTATTTTTTAATATAACTTATAATAATAGAAATTATGTTTTTATAATTATTAAAATAATATATATTAAGATATAAATATATATTAAATAATATTAAAATATTAAATTAAATAATTATTAAAATTTAAATAAAAAATGAAATTTTAAAAAATTTGTTAACTGAGAGAAATCCGTTATAATAACGGATAATAGATAACTTTTGTTAATTTTTTATTTAAATTTTAATAATTATTTTTTAATATAACTTATAATAATAGAAATTATGTTTTTATAATTATTAAAATAATATATATTAAGATATAAATATATATTAAATAATATTAAAATATTAAATTAAATAATTATTAAAATTTAAATAAAAAATGAAATTTTAAAAAATTTGTTAACTGAGAGAAATCCGTTATAATAACGGATAATAGATAACTTTTGTTAATTTTTTATTTAAATTTTAATAATTATTTTTTAATATAACTTATAATAATAGAAATTATGTTTTTATAATTATTAAAATAATATATATTAAGATATAAATATATATTAAATAATATTAAAATATTAAATTAAATAATTATTAAAATTTAAATAAAAAATGAAATTTTAAAAAATTTGTTAACTGAGAGAAATCCGTTATAATAACGGATAATAGATAACTTTTGTTAATTTTTTATTTAAATTTTAATAATTATTTTTTAATATAACTTATAATAATAGAAATTATGTTTTTATAATTATTAAAATAATATATATTAAGATATAAATATATATTAAATAATATTAAAATATTAAATTAAATAATTATTAAAATTTAAATAAAAAATGAAATTTTAAAAAATTTGTTAACTGAGAGAAATCCGTTATAATAACGGATAATAGATAACTTTTGTTAATTTTTTATTTAAATTTTAATAATTATTTTTTAATATAACTTATAATAATAGAAATTATGTTTTTATAATTATTAAAATAATATATATTAAGATATAAATATATATTAAATAATATTAAAATATTAAATTAAATAATTATTAAAATTTAAATAAAAAATGAAATTTTAAAAAATTTGTTAACTGAGAGAAATCCGTTATAATAACGGATAATAGATAACTTTTGTTAATTTTTTATTTAAATTTTAATAATTATTTTTTAATATAACTTATAATAATAGAAATTATGTTTTTATAATTATTAAAATAATATATATTAAGATATAAATATATATTAAATAATATTAAAATATTAAATTAAATAATTATTAAAATTTAAATAAAAAATGAAATTTTAAAAAATTTGTTAACTGAGAGAAATCCGTTATAATAACGGATAATAGATAACTTTTGTTAATTTTTTATTTAAATTTTAATAATTATTTTTTAATATAACTTATAATAATAGAAATTATGTTT